GATCTACTGAAGATCCCTTAAAATAAAATGAAAATGAATAATACATCCTCTGCTCAGCTCACTCACCTAAAAGATTTTCTTATCTACCTTCCTGAAAGTATGTTTATATATATTTAATATAACCCTAAAATATGGCTAATAACTAGACTATAGCCATCCACCCTTTTAACTGAATTACAGGACTGAGCTGATACAGTGAAAGGCTGGATTGATTCTGTGTGGTCTATATACAGTATGTGCATCTGAGTACAGAATGGAGTGTATAATCATTGAATCATTTCAGCAGTCATTCAAATCCATTTAAATCCATTAGAGAATCAAGAAGGAATAAATATGCCATAACAAGAGCCTGAGATTAGCAGAGCTAAAGTCATATATCATTCAGCCTGTAAGTGCAGTTTATGTAGGTGGATGATGACAGGATGGGTGTAACAAAGGGTACAGCAAAACAAACACTAAAATTGACTGTAAAACAGACAGTCACTCATGTATCAGGCAGTGTCATCTGATGGGATCTGGTTATTTTGCTCTCAAACCTAATATTAGAAAATGATCTTCTAAACAGAAATTTCTCAACTGCACAACCACACTAGTATATCATGTTCAAAAGCTACAGTTGCTGAATTTTGTGACAACAAAACCAGTGAATATAAACATGCCTGAGACATTAGACATTAGTCTCACACTTTCACATGATAATGCAACATTTTTTTTCTCTCGTTTTGTTTCATTTCTTGTTTTGCAGTGGTAAGGCACATGCTTTCGTAACATAATGGGTGAAAAGCTGCAAAAGTAGTAAAACTGATTTGTGCAACTAACATCCATCTACAAAAAAGGACAGGCAGAGGACTTGGCTACTGGATGCAATGTCCTCATTATCAGAGCTAGACTAAAAGGATGTGCACATTGAGTCAGGTCAATGAAACTGACTTGAAGTGCCCTCCACTGCCTCCAGTGGTTACAAAACTACCCCTGTGGAATAAATCCATTAAAGTCAGCTAGGTCAGTGGATTTTTTGCTTTAAGATCCTGATTTTTATATTGGACCTCATGTGGTGACCCATCACAGTACTACAATTTTTTTAATCATAGAAAGAAAAGAAAAGTCCCAAAAGGCGTAGTTCACTCCAAAATGGAAATTCTGTCATCATTTACTCACCCTTATGTCATTTCAAACCTGTATGACATTCTTTTTTCAGTGGAAATTTCAAGTTACATTCTCAAATTTCACACCAAAAGCTATCATATGACTTCAGAAAAGCCCACAATATACTATGTTATATGCTATTTTTATGGTGCTTTCACATCCTTTTTGAAGTTTGAAAGCTTCAAATCCAAATTTTTTTTTGCAATGACAAGACAGTTATCATATACATTCTTCATAAATTCTCCTTTAGTGTTTCACTGGAGAAAAAGTCATACAGGTTTGGAACAACATGAGGGTGAAAAAATGTCATATTTCAGTGAAATATCCCTTTCATCAACCAATAAAAATTACTAATTTTACAGTACCACAAACTGCACACACCCACCAATAGACCTACTGTAATTCAGGTTAGACACCATATTGAATTTAGCGCAGATGAAAACAAGGCTGTGAGGGATAGACTTGCAGTCTTTATAATGGCACGCACTGTAAAGGTCCAAGATGATTTCACAACTCACCAAACTGTATTATGGAGCATTTGTCTTCTGAAAGTTTTTGTCAGAAAAATGTTTCATCAGCCGAACAATTAGTATGTTGTTAAACGTAGAAACATACTTTGAATAAGCTGTACTTCTCTCCCTTAAAAAGCCTCGTTTTCATTTCTGTCAAATTAAATATGGCGCTGAAGGTCTATAGCAGGGTTCCTCAAACCTTGCCCTGGAGGGCCAATGCGCTGCAGAGTTTAGCTCCAACCCTGATCAAACTCACCTACCTGTGATTTTCTAATGATCCTGAAGACATTGATTAGTATGCTCAGGTGTGTTTGATTAGGGTTAGAGCTAAACTCTGCAGGAAAGTGGATCTCGTGGGCCAGATTTGAGGATCCCTGGTCTATAGGATGTAAGGATGATATGCAACTTGTCCACAGACGCGCAGACCTGAAAAGACCACATTTTTGACCGTCCTTTTAAAAGTAAAAAAAAGGCAAGTCTATTAATTTTGCTATGCTAAATAGGCATTATTTTTTGCATTTTATTACCTGAATTTAGGTAATAAACCCCATCTAAACAGACCTATGACTCGGTTTGGCAAGCACAACGCTAAGTCATTAATCAAATAATCAAACATGCAGATGGAAAAGGATAAATAATACAAGCCTAATTTATTGCATGAAATTGAAAAAGTTGAATCAGAGAATTATGATGTGATCATTTTGAAACTGATGAACCTGTAATCATCAGAGTAAATTGAGGGAAGGGCCTTTGAGAGTGCTGTTATTCCACACAGCCACTAGAGCTGCTCGCACAAGAGCCTCTTATAGCAACTCTACATTAATTACGCATTGAAACGCTTTGATATGGAAACGACCCACTTAATGAACGACTAAGAAACATGATGAGCAAGAGAGAAAATGTTCAGTATGATTAATGACTGACACTTCTATTCAACGACAAGCTAGTCTAGTCTTATGAATGGACAACATTTTACCACAAATCAGTCGCTTACTCAAGTCTGAACATAGACCACAGACTGTTATTTCCTCCATGTCTTCAGAAAAACCATGTGGCCTGGGTTCAAAATTCCCTGACTCATGAAAAAGTCTTTCTTTGTCAAACTAATGACCAGGGCAGTTCAGTCCAGTTGACAGTTAACCCAGCCGGCACAATGCCATTTTACAAAAGTCTGGAATTTTCTGGTTGCTCCACCTGTTACAGTACTATGCTTTATGAAAGAACACAGTAAAAGGACACTTCTGTATTACCAGACTGATCTAAATGCCAGTTTCGAACCATATGTTCGAATGCACTGTCACACTTTTGTAATTCGGCAGCTGTGAAGACCTATATTTCACGTTTATAATTAGCAGCCGGATCCAAGATTTCAAATGGAGAGTGAGAATGGGATGTGATCTGATTAAGGGACCCTAAGAATACAATACTTCAAGAGCAAAAAGGTGTACAAACAGACCTTTTAATTCAGTTAATACCGGCACACCACGACCGCTCGATGAAATTCAGCTTGTGTGAGGGAGATTAGTGAGCAAACATCACGTTTACCCATTGAGAGAAGGAGGGGAACCGATCCAGCCCTGCTTAAGGGTATTAATGGGACTGATCCAACCAGGGGACATTTGTTTTCAAGCATTTTCCCACATCTCCATCCAGCTTCTGATCGGAGTTAATAGCCAGAGATGTAAACACATTTCCAGCAGCTCAAACATTCAGCAGCGATTTTCATGATATCGCAAATAATCAATGACAACAGTTCTAGTCCACAGCTGTGCTATTATATGGCCAAATCAAAGATAATTGATTTAAATGCTGGCTAAGTGAATTTATCTGAACTCTAATTGACTGTAAAATGCATTTCTGAGAAATTAACATCATAAAAATCCCCTCTTAAACAATGTGATTCTGTAGCCTCCTTCCAAACAAGACATCGATAGACAGACTGTAATTACCTTCATGCTTCACCTTGGAAAAAAGCTGCGAACACAGCGGTTATCCATGTTCTCATGGGAGCGTGACTTGATATAGTCTAGACTAGAGGAGCATGGATTGACAAACATGGGGACAGTGGTGGTGTGAAAAGTTACAGCAAGGAGAGCCAGTGAGGCATGTGAGGACAGAAGCTATATGTGTTCATCTCCTTGCAGGCATGAGTGGGCCTCTGGATGTCAGTTTATGGTTCTGTCTGCTCATTATCTAAATAGCACTAACATAGGCTGGCAAAACAGAGAATTGCTCTCACTAGATTTGGAGAAAAACAATAAAAAAAGGGCATCAATGGCCTCTACAGATTCAATTATGACTATGCTTTCAGACAAGATGAACAACAGGAACTCAATAATAACAAGATGCAGGTGATCTCTAAGCAAGTCTGTTTAAGAAAATTTAAAGCATACCTAGATTTGGAAAATATACTGTAAGTGTAAACTAGGGCCAATGACATTTAAGAGTGTCCATGAGAAAGAAAATAAAAATCTTTTAAAAGGAAGGAAAAATATAAAATACAAATGTACTCTTTGTATTCATGTGAGTTTTACATTGTTTTGAAAAATGATTATGCTATTAAGTGAGCATACCATAATCACTAATTTCAAAAAATTTTAATATATTTTTCAAGGCAAAAAGAATGAAAAAAAAACAGTGCATTTATGAAATGTTAAGTCAGTACATTTATGAAATGTATTTCTGAATAATACTGTCGCAATGGAACAAAAGCTGCATTGTTATTGTTAACTAAAACTAAATTATTAAAAATAATTGAAATCTTTAATTTTTAAACTTAAGTACAAAAATTACAAGAACTAAAACTGCTAAATAGAAATATTTTAAAAACAAAAACCAATGAAAATAACTACTGCACATAACAAATTTTTAAAATTTTAACTACAATTTAAAAATAAAAGCCAATGAAAAAGATTAATAAATACTATAATAATATTTAAATAATAATAAAACAACACGGAATGGAAGTAGTGAAAGATCTTTTCTTCTGTTTTGTGATTATCGGAAAAGAAAAAAAATGTAAGGTGGAAATTGGTTCTATCCATTGACTGTTGATTGGATGGAAGCAGATCTGAATATGAGGCGGGGTTTAAACAGAAAAAAATAATTGGGGAAGTCCACCATAGGTCACCAGAGAAAAGACATTTGTTTCTCTGTAAGACTGAGTTTTTCACATTTTAATAAAAAATTTGGAAAAAGTTTTAAAAAATGAAACATGAGTGGATGAATTGTTCACAATAAGATTAATAAGATGCATTTAGAAAACTGAATTTCCATTCATGTCAACTTTAAAGGTCACATAACTGACCCATTAATCTGGTTAAAGACCAGCAATAAACTTACTTTTATGGGAGCAGAGCTGAATCGAATTTTCCGTTTTTGTGGAATTTCCTCCTTGTCCTCCTCTGGAAGACCAGGAATCTCTGTAATCTCTGATCCTGGGTCATAGGAAAGATCATCACCATATAGGTCATCCTCTGGGTCGGTGCAGCTCTCCCCCCAGCCCTGGTAGCAAGCATCTCCATCGGCATTGAAAATAACTCTCTCACTGCTACAGTATTCCTCATTGGGTTCTTCAATTTGATCCTCGGTAATCCGGCTAGACTCCTCTTTCACATGACCGTCTGTGTCCTCGTGGACCTTGGTAGCTGTAGACTCATGTGAATTTCCTGCAGCGTCATTGACTTGAGCCGCAGCTGAAGAACCATCTACGGCCTCGGTTGAGTTTACCTCATCTTTTGGTTTGGGTTCACTGGATCCATAAACCACCTTGGAGGTTTCCTGGGGCTTCTTCTCATCAGTTTTCATCTGGTCCACGGCCTCCGACAGAGGACTAGGACTGAGAAGATCTTCTGAAGACGAAGAAACCGGCAGATTGTGCTTGCTACCCACTTGCGTCCTGTAAAAACCATGTGAAGGAGACTGTCGCGCACTGGTGTCGTCCACGCTGGCCTCCCCGTGTCTCTGTAAGCCATCTGGGGAGTACAGTCCTCTTCCACCTCCATGGCCTCTTCGGAAAGTACCACCGGAGCCCTGTTGGTCTATATTTTCGAACACAGCACTGAGCTGACTCACAGTGGGAGATGAGGCCTCTGTCCTGGAGCAAAGACTATCCAAAGAGTCCGTACTGCCTCTGTTAGAACGCGCCCCCCGCCAGTCATCCAAATGCTCGTGAGAACCCCTCTTGTCCCGGCCGTAAGAGTACACGGGCGACTGTGAAGCATCTCTGGAGCTCTGCTCAAAGAGTTTCCTTGTTTCTGAGAACTTTGAGTTATGCTGGCCACCGGTAGTCCGCTCTCCAGTGCCATGCTGGAATTTGACCACTGACCCATCCACCTTGTTGATGAAGTTTGTTGGCTTGTTGAGTTTCGGCGGGGAGGTCTCATCCCTCGATTGTCTGTTGGACCCAGCGTTCTCAGTCCCCATCTGCATGAACATGTTCTTGATGCGACTGACATGGGCCCCGTATTGCCGCCCTCGAGGCTGCCTGACCCCCTCCGTGTCCTTGAGTTTGGGGTCTCCATCCTGTCTCGGTTGGTCAAAAGCCTTCTTTAGAGCCTGGAACTCCGCCCTGTAGGCATTCCGGTGTGGGGAAGCGCTCCTCAGGGTATTTCTCTCTGCCGAGGCCTCTGTCTTCAACATCTTAGCCTCGACAATGGAGGTCTTTTCAAATATTCAGTAACATTCCTTCAGGATGTTTGTTGGGTGCAATCACATTTTGTTGGGAATTCCTGTAAACATTTACAAAAATGTTATGAGTAGCTTGTTTGTTTACAAATTATGCAATTATGTGTGCACAGCAAACAATTATACACTGTAAAAAGTGGAAACTTGTCATTAATTTGTGACCCTATAGAGTAAGTGACCTTAAGCCCATATATGCAATAAGTGCCACATAGGCCTAGTTGTTGTTATATTATATACATACAGTATATAAACTAACATTCAAAAGTTTGGGGTTGGTATGTTTTTTAATGTTTTTGAAAGTAGTCTTGTGTTCATTCAAGTTCAAGCATTTATTTGATCAAAAATACTGTAAAAACAGTAATATTGTGAAATATTACTACAATTTAAAAACAAAGTTTACTATTTGAATATATTTTAAAATGTAATTTATTTCTGTGATGGCAAAGCTGAATTTTCAGTAGTCATTACTCCAGTCTTCAGTGTCACATGATGCTTCAGAATGAACATAAAATTATATATATAGAAGCTTTTTGAGCCAAAAAATATCTAATGATCTGTCTGTGAGTATAATCAAAGAAATATAACTTTTTTTTTGTCAAGTCGGATTATTAGAAATGACTGCATTGACCCATATTGTTCCTAATAAGCTCACTAAGATAAGAACCTACAGTACAGAACTTCTTATAAAAAGCATTAACTGAAATCACTGTGCTCAGAACACAACCTTTTAATTCAAGAACTTTACCCACTTACATTTTATTGTGGAGACACACTGAGTCTCACAACAAGCTGCAGCATTGGCAAAAAAAAAAAAAAATGAAGTTGATACAATGACCTGAGACAGAAAGCTTAAAAGTCCAAATAGATGCTCAGAAAGGAGTGTACCAGAGAAACTGGCTGACTTTAAGATGACCATGGTAAGATTAAAGTAACATCCAGACTGAGAATGATTGGATATTGTTGAATGGATGCTGCTCAGATACTCCAGTTTGAACAGCAGCTCTTTAATTAGTCACGCTGACTAATCAAAAATGAATCTAAATTGAAGTGTCTAATATGATGTGAAACATTTACATTGGAAATGTATATTCCAGTATATAATGTATACACATTATAAGCCCACTCTGAAATTTGCAATTAAATAAAGCAGTTTAATTTTGTTAGTGTTTTGATGAGACATGAATCTCAAACTTAACTTTAAGTCTGCTCACATATCTACACAAAAACATGTGAAACTTAGATTTGGGTTGACTTAATAGAGTCACTTCCCCAAATTCGTTGTTACAATAGCCTACTAAACAGCAGCAGGGCAGATGAAAACAACAACATCTCTAAAGCAACTCTGCACATCAGTTTGTAAACAACACATCGAATAGGGGCTCGGATGCTGGAAGATGCCTTTGCACTGGCTCTAGAATCCACCGCCCTGGTTCTTGAACATAATGCGTGATCATCACTTTGCCATAAGGGTCGACGGAGCACTCAATTTCAGCGCGATGATGTTGATGCACGATGTGTTTTCGACGCAGATCTCGATGTGACTCACAGATTAGATTTGCCTTCCATCACCCATCGTGTAAACCGCAGACAGCCGCTGCATTTTAGTCTGCCAGGATGGTTTTAAAATCCACCCCACATCTCATGAATGAATATTTTATATCGATAATAAGAGCACGGAAAGGCAGATGCACATTTCAGACCAACACAAGGACAAAAATATAACTGTGCGCGCTACCTGCATGATGTAAAACAGTTGTTGTTGGTTAGATAACAGCGTGCATTTAACGCTCACAACATGCATAACGCAAATAAACGTGAAACACATTTGTGGGAAATGTAAATATGCATTTAGCAAAAGTGCGACCATTGCGCTATTCAAAGATGATGAACAACCAACCCTTACGCGCATCACATCACATCGCCTGCATCACTGACAGCTCCATCGTACAAACCCAGGTCCATAAACACTCCAAAATTACAGACCTAGCTCATTCCAGCGAGTGTATTTAGCCACAACTAGCAAAACATCGCACACAAACACGAAACAGAAGTGGCACAAGTATTGCTTAACTCCCTTGTTGTTGCTCCAAAACAAAAGAGTGACTTACCTACGCCTTCAAATGCAATGTCAGTTATCCCAGGAATAAATGTGTTCTCGCTTTAAATCATTGACCAAAGGGGAATGACATCGAACAACATTTCAATTCAGCTCCGCTATCAGCATCAAGCCGCCATGCTGGACTTCACCAGACAATTGACACAATATGACATACAAGCAGGGCTTTACACACACACACACACACGCACATAAACACGAGAGCGCAGCTAGACAACGTCATTGCAGGCGAGGGGTGATGCCGCCATTCCCTTAGTAGGGGTATTGATACACAACACCATTCAGAGTCAAACTATCACTCAAACGAAACCAGTTCCGTATTTCTAAACTTATTTACCGCAACTGTGTTACTTGTGTGCTATTTTAATGAGAGCTTCAACAGTGTGACAGGTGTGTTAACATTCAAGAATGGTTTAGTCCAGTAATCTGTGTAGAGAGGGAACGAGCAAACTGCAGTCTGGCAAAGGAAAGTAAGTAATTAAAATCGCAGCATAATAACTAGTGGTTGCGTTAGAGGCCACGTGGTGACAAGAAGGAGAATTCAATACAATCTATAATGTGATCAGCTGATCAAATAGCCAACAATTGAGTTTTTACATAGAATTTGGGAGCATTCAGAATTCAGGGAATATATATTTATAGCGTTATGCCATATAGGCCTATATATATATATATATATATACACACATATAAATGGCAGCTCCTGTATTCTGTTCTGTGTTGACATGACAAGAGTATATATTGTATATATATTTTAGAATTTTTAATTGACATATGTATAATTTCATATTTGCGTTCATTATTTCATGTTTGCAATATTTACCATTTTAAAATGTAAAACATTTTTAATAATTAATATAAACAAAATTCAGTCAATAATATTTCACATTCACAAAATGCACTTTTTCGTAAATGCATTTATGCTGCCATGAAATAGTCTGTCTAAATGCACTTTTTTGTGTTTATGCCACTTCAGATACAGCATCTGTGCCGCCTATGCAGTATAAGGATAGTGGCATAAAGTCAGTTCTAAAAGTATAAATATAAAAATAATGAATTATTCAGAGAATGAGAAAAACATATCTATATTCTGATTTAAAAAACATTTTTTTTACAAGGTTTAAGCTAGTGATGTGTACTGCAATCTAGGCCCAAATTGATTTTGTTTACTTCTTGTTTGTTTCATTAAGCCAATTTTGAAGCCAAACTCTTTGGTTTTGTGCCTTTAACCCAAAGACTGGCAAGGAAATTTAATGAAACTGCTCAACTGTGTTACGGGTAGCACAACAGAAATATTCTGTTACACCCTCATGTTTTTTTTTTTTTTTAGTACTATTTATTGCATAACATTTGATACCCTTGTATTCCTGTCAGCGGTTGTCTGGAGTTGTTGCTTAGCAACCTAAAATCTTGATGGCACAGAATGCAGCCTAGTAACACTTTTGTTCATGCGAGGTACAAAAAAAGGATACAGACCCAACAGAAGGTTTGTACCACTCATGGTGCTCGCTATAGGCTGTCCAGTTGTGCACAGTGCAAATGGCCATGACCATTTGCGTGCTCCACCTCTCCACGGGGGGTTGAATACATTTTAATAGACCTTATCTCATTGTCATCTTTAGAGCTTAAGGGGCATGATGGATGGGGGAGGGAGGAGTCTCCTGTGCATTATCCTTAGAGAGGGGTTGCGTTTGTGTCTTACAGCACTGCATTTGCACTACATGCTGAAACCAAATAAATAAATAAATCACATTTCAGTGGTCATGCTACTGTGTACATATTACACAAGTCATCAATTTTAAAATTGAAAGTAAAATCAAAGTGGTGTCAGTCACAAACAGCAAAGATAAACATATTGCACTTTTTTCAGCCACTTTAAATTATATATATAATACAATATGTGCTTTTTTAATACTAATAATTATTGCTAATATTATCACAATTGTTATTGTAATTATATTTAATTATAAAACATTAATTTTTTTCCCACTGATCATCTTTTTAATTACAAATAAGGAACAGTATTGCATTGAAATGAATGAATGAATGAATGAATGAATGAATGAATGGAAAAGGAGAAATACAAACAGCTAAACAAAGGACAAATCAGTACAAAAGATAAGATAATATATAGCTAATAATTTGGTCAGATTTAACACAGTATGGGAAATCTCAGCAAGAAAGACTTCAAATCTAAGCAAAGTTTTCAGAAATTTGTTCAGGTAGCCTAAATAAAAAAATGGCAAAAAATGACTGAAACAAATTTGACAGAATACACATAAGTTGAAAACATGAGCAAAAGTAGTCATGTGGGAGCTAGTTAGATAGATATTATGCAAATTATATAAACATCTATTTAAATCTTATATCATAAACCAAATAATAATAATAATAATAAATGCTTCGGTTTGCATTCTACAAAATAATTATTGTGTGGTTTGTACTACATATGTTTTCCATTCCGTCCTAACTGGGTCCCCCTGTAAATATAGCTTGTGATTTTTTCCAGCATCTGCGCCAGATGTTTCAGCCAACCAGCGCCCATCAGCTTCAGTGAGTGGGAGGAATCCGAGCAGCGGAGGATGATGCTTATGGCTGTCACATCCCGAGGACCACCAGCGACACTTCAAATGTGTGATGTTAAAAGCCACTGCGGCAAGTGAACGATGGCCTCGGTTGGCGTTTTCGCGGGGCTCATAGTGGGTACGTATATAGTAGACCTGAGACGACGACACTGGGAGAAATACTCGTTCTTTTCCATTGGATGATAGCTAGCCTGCTGGCTAACGGAATAGCTCTCGTTCTCATTACATCATATGGATAAACTGACTGGCAGTTAATCGTTAATTCAAAGCGGCAGAGACGGTATGTCAACTGTATTACGTGTAGGTGACGTTAATATAGCAGATTCCACTAATAATATATTATTTTATACCTGCCGCTGGTCTTATACGGTAGCTAAATGCCAGCAACATAATTACACTTGGTTCTTTTGCCTAAACAACAGGGATTTCTTGTCAATTTCTTGTCATTTGTTGTCTGGTCAAGATCACGACGCCGTTTTTCGTTAAATGGTTTTATGACACTTTTTCCTCTATTATTTTTCTTTGTCCGTTGTAAAAGCCGCAATTGTTCGTTCTGTCAGTGGCATAGACGGCCAAACCCGGGCTTTAATCGACTCCAAACAGAGATCTGTGTTTCAGAGTGGCGGTGAGTGATTGTAAAGACTGGCTGTGTCTCAAAAACGAGTATGTTACCTGCCTAGTAACGGTGGGGATTGTGGATCGAATCTTTTGAATCGGTTCAGTGGCCTTTTCTGCAGGTTATGCTAGATAATTAATGTTTTCATTTTTGTTTAACGTTACAATGAAAAATCGACTGGGAGACCACAGAAAACAACATAACAGATCTATTGTTGTTTTTCATAATTTTATGAACTGCTGTGAATTGCTTTTATCAAGAAATAACAATAATCGACTAACGCAGTCATATAGCCTACTTTAAAAAAGGAGAGATGTACAGCAGATGAATGAAAAATATGAGTCAGGTGAACTGGAATGATTCATTCTCTTAAAATATTAATTCAGTACACTGATTAATTCATGAACTACTTATACAGAAGGCTTGGGCATTATAGGCATGCATAGCCAGATACCCAAAGTGGTACATGTGAGATTCATAATGCTGACTAGGTAGGCAGCTCACTAGATTTTGAGACAAAGCCGACATGTTTGAAGCGATCATAACATGCACAGCACTTTGCTGTGTAAAGCTTTTTGGGCTTAACACCTGCCAACGTGCTGAATCACCAACCTATATAATTCACCTTCCTCTTGACTCTTTTGAAGTAGAAGGGGAAGAACTACTCCTTTAACAAAACCACTGTTTGTATATTATAACATGCAGTTGCCCAGTTATTCAACCTCTAATATATAACATTTTTTTTTTTTTAATTGTTTACAGTTTCACATACACCTTTTGATGTGCATAATACATTTTGCATTTTATGTCCATTATAAATGAATGCATTGATATTAAAACCAGTGTCCACTATTCAAATGTATTAAAATGAAAATCGGTATTACCTGATAAATGGACGGCTTGAGAAAAGCATTCACTCACTTCACTTTGAGTGTGTTCCCGGCTACAGCTTAGTCATGACAAGCTGACCCAGTTTTGTGCATAACACTGACATCCAGGCGCAGTACTTTGAACAGTTTGATGTCTTCACAATCCTGCAATTAGTCTGCACTGCCCCCCCCCCAATGAATCGTGAAGTGCATGAATTCCCCTTTGACCGGAAAAGAGAAGTCAGCACAGCGCTGATTCGACAGTTCAGTAGGACATCCCTGGCTGTGTCACGGAAAGGGAGGGAGCGAAAGAGAAAGTGTCTTTTCTCAGTTGGCACATGATGAATATCTTCATTTGGCCCACCCAAGGTCGGCCCACAAAATCATAAACCAGGATTAGCCATTTCTACTGCAGGGCTGTCTGTAATTTGTGTGTGTGTTTGCGCATGTGTGTGTTCGCTCTTCCATTACTTAGTGTTGAAAAGTTTGGCATTAACCATTAATGGTTGATCCATTAGAATATAGTGTTGTGGATTACCTTCAGATTGCCTTGAGTTCACATAGTATTCAAATCAGTTTATTAGGGGTGTAATGGTTCAAATTACTCACGGTTAATTTTTTATCATGGTTTTGACATACGGTTCGGTATGTGCTATTTTAGGGGAAAAAGGACTAGGCCTATACTGTCAAATAAAAATAGATAATAAGAACAAATTAACTACAAGCAACATCACAAATAAATACAATAGAGCAAAGATAAATAAAATAAAAAGTGCTTTTCAGGTTTTTTTAGGTAGTTCTAAGTTTAGTTTTTAGGTACAGAAATTGAATAAAATAATCAAATGTAAAAAACATTGCATATTTGACTGTATAAATTGAAGATTAATCCTTATTAAAGTTACAAAAGCTATTCAATAAAGAGCAGTGAATGATATCCTTGTCTTTTGTTTTTTTTGATTAACATTAAAAACACAGACAGCAGGTATATAGTCTGCTGTCACTTTAAGACAATGCACGGATCCAGTACACTGATGATGCTGTACGTTCATCCGACTATGTCTGCTAGGATGCTCACCAAGACGGGCATGTTGGACATAATTTTTGTGTGAATTTGTCCATTCAAGCACAAGACTTGAAAGAGAACTCAATATGTGCGCGCTGTCTGAGACGTGAGACCTGAATGCGAGTTTTCATTCGTGTCTTTTGGCTCTTGAATGTTTAAACAGGCAAGGCATAAATGCATTTAGTTTAAACACAGATAGCAACGTGTGCTGTTCAGGTGATGACGGCATAAATGACTGGTTAAATTCGTGCATACGGCACTGGCATTGAACAAAGTTTACAAAGAGGTTTGTGCACGTTTTTTTTGTTCATCGTTGTTGTAATGTATTGGGAAGCCAGAATGCGTATCCAACGACAGAAACATGCATTAGCCTAACTCTATCTGTTTTATGTGTTGTTATTTTTAACAAACCATATTACAAATGCGTTGTCAGATTGAAGTTGAACCGCAGTGCAAGTGTGTGCCGAACCGTGGGTGGAGAATGGTACGGTTCGATTTTTTTTTTTAACCGAGAACTGTTACACCCCTACATTTTATAGAGTCTGGGATGTGGTTTTGTTGCTTTCGGGTTTATATCAGGCTCTGGGCTAAGGTCGCCCTCAGGGTGACAGAATAAACCCCATGTGCACAAAACCACAGCCATCAACACCCCAGAAACAGATCAATTGCGTTGTCAGATTGAAGTTGAACCGCAGTTTGAACTGCAGTTTTTTCACAATTCTGCACGTGACCAGACGCGCAAGTCTTATTGGAATAGAACACCTTTCCATAAAAAAGTCATGTAACTCATTAAATTATGAATTATGCTTGCTTATAGTGTTTATTTACATGCAATGTCCGCATTGCTTTAGCAATAAGTTCACTAAAGAATTTATGCAAATGAGGTAACACAAAAATGCAAAAAAATCTGTATAGTGCAGTTCGCATGACACAGTTTCTCATTCTGAGTGCTATGTTGTGGAGGATGCAGTAACTACCGAAATCTGCATACTTTAGTGTGACTGTAGAGCATCACTCTAACAATGAGATCCAGAAAATTGTAAAAGTGTGCTAGTCTGCGCCGCTTGTTTGAATATGGCCTGTACTCTGTTGTAATCTCCCATTATAAATATCAATTGATCATTATTCGATAATTTGCTACATCAGTAATCACTAGAGAATTTACAGCCTGCCCTCTGCAACAATAATAGCATAACATTTTGAATAGGACATAATTTACCAAGAAAATATATTAACAATCATTTTATTAATTTAAATACAATTGTAAATAATTTGCATAAAATAACAACTAATAATATTTAAATATATTTAAAAATATCTTTTGATGCACAATATATAGGTGTGTTGGTGTGTGTGAATTTATTGTTGTGATTTAGATACCTGAATCAGCTCTATAAAATACTAAAAGTCTTCACCGCTTGTCTCAATATAGCCTAATTATAATGGTCTTCTTCATCATTTGATCATAATTGGACCAATAATGTACATAATCATTCTGTTTACAGCCTGCTTTCTGCAGGAATAATAGCATAACATTAATTGCAAATAGTGTAAATTAAAGTGCAATTTAAAAATAGCATTTATTTTATTCATTTAAAATTTAAATAATTTACATATTATATACTCTTATAGACATTATGCTTGTGTGTGTGTGTGTGTGTGTGTGAAAGAGATCATTTTTGGGGTAGGCTGGTTCTAATCCACTGGACAGTTTTGTTTGTTTGTTGATGTATCGAAAGATTATTTTATCTTTATGTCTTCATATTTGTAAGAAATTAACTCATTTGTAAGGGAATTAATTATTATTATTTCATTCAGGTTTTGAGAGGACTCGGATCTGAAGATTCGAAGTCATTATGTCAACTTTCTTTGTGTAATCCCTTGGTTTGTGCTGTCCTGACCAGTTTAATGTGCCTCCATGTAAGCCAGGGCTCCAGACAAAAAAAATCACTTAAGGAGCCATTGCCTTCTATAAGAAACAAAAATAGGTGCCAAATTAATTTTTTAATAACACAGAATAAACGTGTTTTATTTATTTATTTATTTTTAAACACCTTTACATTTCATTCATACTGTCATGTATTTATGTCTCCCCTCCTTATACTGCATCAGCATTTTAATCCATTTTGTAGATGTCCTGGGAATTTTAAGGTTCACTTAAAGTGGGAACTAAACGTCTTTCACACGTCAGTCACAATTCATTTAAGGCATTACATGCAAATTTTTAAGTCAGAACATGTACATTTATATAGTTGCCAGTGGCGATCTCAGCAAAATTAATATTTTTGGTCACAAATGCGAGCCGTTTAGTCGCAGTCTGGAGCCATGTAAGCACATGCTCTGCCTTGAGTGATGTACTAGGAGCTGTTTTGTATCTGAAAACTTGAAGAGATCTGGCATTTCTGTAGTGCATCGCTGCAGTAGCTTTCTCCCACTGCAGCACACTCCCCTGTGGAGATTTAAAACCAGCTTCCTCCCAGCTGACTTCAAGTGAGAAAAGAAAGACTGTAAAAGCATGCTGGCAGCCATCTCTCCAGGATCTATTATAAACTGCTGAAAAAAATGAGTACTTTCCTTTTAAATAATGCTTGAATGGGGAGTATGTGTGCATGTGTTATGCCAGAGAAAGGGTTTTGATGTGCAGAGTGAGGGGTGGGGGAAGGCGTGTGAGAGGTGCATTGAGCATTTGAGATTGTGACTCACTGTACTACCGTCCTAGTAGGACTGATTGGCCTGATACCCAACACACACTTACCCACTTGCTCACATAACACATTCTCACACACTCCCACTCAGATGATTTTTAAAAGAAAGAAACACACCCCGTTACATAAATGCATTAAAAATAAATACAAGTTAAAATAGAGAGTTTACATTGGAGTACTGGAAAAGGACAAACAATTATGAATGCAAAAATAATCACTGTTAAGCTTCTCTAAATCATAAACCTAAATTATAACATTATTTGTTATGTCTGTCTCAAGCATCAAATTGTTTATTATGGTATAACAAAATCTTATTTATTTATTTTTTAAATTTCTATTAAAATTTTATGTTTGGTTTTATATAAAGTATATACACTACCATTTAATAGTTTTTGATAGACGTCTCCTATTCTCACCAAGGCTGCATTTATTCAATCAAAAATAGAGTAAAACTGTAATATTGTGAGATATTATTACAATTCAAATAACTATTCTATTTTAATGTCATTTATTCATGTGATGATGGCAAAGCTGAATTTTCAGCAGCCATTACTCCAATTTTCAATGTCACATGATCCTTTAGATATCATTCTAATATGATGATTTGGTGCTCAAGAAAAACGTATTATACATATTTCAAAAAATTGTGCTGCTTAATGTTTTTGTCAAAAAATCTTTATAAATGTCTTTACTTGATCATAATTTGTCCTTGCTGAATAGAAGTATTAATTTATTTTCAAAAAAATTGTACTGACCCCAAACATTTGAATGGTAGTGTGTATATATATTTGATTGTTTTCTAATAGCTATTTCTTTATTGTCTGTGCAGATGTTTTACCGTTTACAGTAAGGGAATTTAGTCTGCCACATTACACTGCATTTAATTCTTTTGTCATTTCTGTCCACACCAGTGGTCACCATCCTCTCTAAGTCGCATGCGGACCGCAACGTTTATCCTTCTGCCGGAGTGCTTTTTGTTCATGTGCTAGAGAGGGAATACTTTAAAGGGGAGTTCCCACCGTATCCAAAAGCAGGTATATTTACTCCACTACTTACACAGTAATGTGCCTATACAGAATAAATGTTTCGCTCTATTAATTTTATGAAACACCTGTTCACCTTAGTAGCTACTTTGCATAAGTAGCAAATATCACTGCACACGAAACATATTAAAGTCAGTTTACATGTCAGAGCCTATATCTTCTAAGGAAATATGGCACATAATGAATGTAAAGAACATTTCTCTCCATAATATTTTTATTTTGCTGTAGCCATGCAAAAGCACAATTGGCACAGTCTGTCATACCTTATTGCTTAAATAAATACAACTGAAAATTATTCTTCATTTCAGGTGATTCGAGTAATGACCCCATCACATTTAACACCAACCTTAAAGGCTATCCCGACAGGCCTGGATGGCTGCGGTACATTCAGAGAACCTCTCATAGTGATGGAGTCCTCTATGGCTCACCAAC